TCCAATAAATGTATTGTTTCTAAATATGGAATTTTTATTGGAAAAAGTTATGACAGCAGAGGCTTGTTCTGCTTTTTTCTGGATGAATGTGTAATAAAGTTGTAAACCATGTAAGCAATGATGATGAGTCCAATGTGTGGCATTTGTGACTATGTCATGTGAATTTTGTATAACACGCTTAGGGTCTGTTTGGGGAGCTTAAGATTCTGAGAAGCAGCTGGTTGGTAGCCAGCTTCTGAGAATCTGGAAAAGCTGGGTTTCCTAGCTTCTAGCTTCTAGTTCATTTTGTAGATCCTACAACTACAGCTTCTTAGAATCTAGACCAAAAACTTCTGATTCTGGAGAAGCTGCAGCAGCTAGAAGCTCCCCAAAACAGGCCCTTAGCTAACATGAGTTTAATCCCGAAATTCACTTTAGTCAAAGGTTATAAGTGACATACTTGTGTTCAATCGAAACAACCTCGCAAGCCTCACAAGGCTTCAGAGGCGAGAAATTTGGCACATCTAGAACTTGTTCATTCTAATCTGTGAGAAATGAACGGCGTGTTGACTACATGGGGAAAGAAATATTTCATGACACTTATAGTCTTATAGATGATTGCACTAGATTTTGCTATGTGTACTTATTGAAAACAAAAGATGAAACATTGCATTACTTTAAGATCTATAAGGATAAGGTAGAAAACCAACTTGAAAGGAAAATTAAACGGTTGAGGTCTAATCGAGGTGGAGAGTATTTTTCTAATGAGTTTACTTCATTCTGTGAAAAGTTTGAAATTATTCATGAGATGACGTATCCCTATCAACCCAGACTCTAACTGAGTTGGTGAATGCCATGTTAGACGCTATGGGACTTTCCAAAGAACAATGGGGTAAGGCAAAATTGATTGCTTGTCATGTCTTGAATAGAATTCTTTTTTTTTTTCAATCAACGGTGAGGCTGCAAGTTGATTTCCTTTCTTCCAGTTAATTTCCCTTCTCTATCTTTTCCGTCCCCCACAAGGAAGAATAACTCATTCTCTGAACTTCTCACAAAAATTAAAATGGACATTACCAAGATGAAGGTAGCAGAAAAAACTAGAAGAGCCTTTCTTTTTTTTAAGCTGTTGAAACCTCCTGCATAGAATCTTTCTTGTTTGCCGTACAAAAGCAAGAAAGACGGAGGTCAAAGCGAGAAGAAACAAGCAGTCTCATATCCGTGGTGACAATAGCCGAGGACTGACGGGCTATGCTATATCGCTGCTGAAAATTGCAACAGCTCTCGGTGGCTTGGAAGAAAAGAGATGGGAGGGATTTGGGCTGTTCTTTTGCATTAGGTTAATCTTGTGATTGCCCAACGGCAGGTGATACGAATCATCTTCGTCCTTGCTACTCTTCAGAAAACTTTAAATGTAGATGTTCAAAAAGCCGACGCGATTTGCTTCAAAGTGGCAATCTGTAATTCATACGGATGGCATTTAATCAGTTTGCTTTAAATTCTCTTTTTCTTGGAGGGGGAGGGGGGTCTCTGTGTGTATGTGTGTGTTGATTACAGTCATTCAATCAACAAAGGAGAAAAAAAAAGACTTGAGTTCCTTTGGATTGAATGGCTTTAGTTTCATTTGAATCAAAGTAATTGAACAAAGGAAATCTTCCTACGATGCTGATTCCGTAGAAATTCTACAGGAAAAAAAAAACCATCCAGTCTGTCTTCCTTTTCTCTTCATTCGCGAATACCAAGACAGACGAGTAGCTCAATACAGCTTGATGGAACGAACTGTTTAATTAGCTAACAAACATAGCTTTGTTGTTCTGGCCTCTGGGCCCATAATTTTCTAAATTTTCATTTACCCTATCCAGACATCTATTTACCTCGAATTCGTATGTTTTCCCGTTCTCTCTTTTACATATGCATTTCCATCCCATTTTTTTTACATATGCATTTCCATCCCATTTTTGTATTTTTGTCTACTCTATTTTGCATCATGCATTCCAAAGACGACCTTTAAAACATTTAGGAACGCGTGATGCAAAATGGAGTAGACAAAAATACAAGAATGGGATGGAAATGCATGATGCATATTTTTTGGAATCAGAGCCTCTCTACTCAAAAATGCCGAAACGGGCGATGCTATATCACAGAGAGTGTGTTCCTTGAGTAGGTTTTGTAGTATATTTTTTGGAATATGTGCGATTGAAAATTTTGATGAAAAATATTTCGAAATTAAGTTTTAAAATAAAATACTACGAGATCCTGTCACTTTCAAACCCATGTTAAATCACATATATATATATATATAGTGACGTCACTACCAGAAATATGACCTTCTGTGACGAATTCCTCATGACGTCGGAGCTATTCGTCATTAGCACATTCTATTTTATGACGATTAGTATGAGATGGGGTGGCTTAGTGACGAAAAAAAGGTGTTCGTCGTTAATACCAACTAGAAATCGTCATAAAGTATTTCTATGGGAGATCGTGACGAATATTAATTTGTCATAAGGGGCACAAAGCAAACTTCATAGATTTATATAATGCATTTATAGAAAAATATATTAAAAGTTAAAGCAATTTAGTCAAGTGAATTAATAAAGAAACTAAAATTTTCCTATAAAAATGATGGCTAGAAATATTTTTGTAATATTCTACGTGGTCTAAATTATTCTCTGAAATTTTCCATCAATTTTTAGGAGCTTAATAACTAATTTTAATACCACAAAGTTCATTTAACATATTAAAATAAAATAAAAAACAAATTAAAATCCCTCCCTTTGTCCTTGGGTCTTTTTCGGCCCAAGTATTACTCCCTCCCTCCCTCGGCCCGCAGCCACTCTTTCCCTCATTGGGCCGGCTTCCCCTCCTACTTCTTGGGCCGCCGGCCCAACCCTTTTGCTCCTCCCTCGCCGAACAGTCTATTTTACCTCTCTCCTCTCAATTCAAATAATTTTTCAGGTATTTAAATGATTTCAAATGAAAAAATTGTCAACAATAAAGTTGTATATTTATCAATATCTACAACTTTTGTTTTGGTCATTTTGCTATATGACTTTATTTCAATAATTTGAATTTGAATTTCAAATTATGACAACTTCAAACAACATTTTAAAGTATTAAATGGTTTCAACTGAAAAGGTCATCAACAACAAAGTTGTATAACTCATCAAAATATGCAACTTTTGTTTTGGTCATTTTGCTATATGACTTTATTTAAATAATTTGAATTTAAATTTCATATCATAACAACTTCAAACAACATTTTCAAATACTAAATGATTTCAACTGAAAAAGTTATCAACAACAAAGTTGTATAACTCATCAATATCTATAACTTTTATTTTGGTCATTTCTTCATCCGATAAAATGACAGTAATATTGTTCACAAAATTTGTATATATCTCTTATAGTTTATAAAACCATGTAAGAGATATGTAAATTTTGTGAATAATATTACTATCACTTCATCGGATGAAGAAATTACCAAAATAAAAGTTATAGATATTGATGAGTTATACAACTTTGTTGTTGATGACTTGTTCAGTTCAAATCATTTACTATTTGAAAATGTTGTTTGAAGCTGTCATAATTTAAAATTCAAATTCAAGTTATTGAAACAAAGTCATATAGCAAAATGATCAAAACAAAAGTTATAGATATTGATGAGTTATACAACTTTGTTATTGATGACTTTTTTATTTGAAATCATTTAGTATTTGAAAATATTGTTTGAAGTTGTCATAATTTGAAATTCAAATTTTATATAGGTCAATCAAACTCAGATGAAAAAATAACCAAAATAAAATTGGTAGATCTCAATAAGTTATACAACTTTGTTTTTGACAACTTTTTCACATAAGTTCATTTAGTATGATTTTTTGTGTGCTCCTTCATAATGGTATAATAAAATAAAAAGAAAAAAAAGGTTAAACATATATGGAATGAAAGAAGGCCTATTACGGGCCAGCCCTTTTCCTCCTCCCTCACCGATAAGTCCATTTTATCTCCCTCCTGTCAATTAATTTCAAAATATGAAAACTTTGAATCGAATTTTATCATAATAAATGAACTTATGTGAAAAAGTTGTCAAAAACAAAGTTGTACAACTTATTGAGATCTACCTATTTTATTTTGGTAATTTCTCCATTTAAATTTGATTGACCTATATAAAATTTGAATTTCAAATTATGACAACTTCAAACAACATTTTTAAATACTAAATGATTTCAAATGAAAATGTCATCAACAACAAAGTTGTATAACTCATCAATATCTACAACTTTTGTTTTGGTCATTTTGCTATATGACTTTGTTTCAATAATTTGAATTTGAATTTCAAATTATGACAACTTCAAACAACATTTTTAAATACTAAATGATTTCAACTGAAAAATTCATCAACAACAAAGTTGTAAAACTCATCAATATCTATAACTTTTATTTTGGTCATTTCTTCATCCGATAAAGCGACAGTAATATTGTTCACAAAATGTATATACCGTTACAAATCACTTTATCGGATGAACAAATGACCAAAATAAAAATTGTAGATCTAGATGGATTATACAACTTTGTTGTTGATGACGTTTTCAGTTGAAGTCGTTCACTGATAAAAAATTCTATTTGAAGTGCTCAAACTTTGAATTTCAATTTCAAATTATTCAAATAGAGTCAGATGGAAAAATGACAAAAATAAAAATTTTGCATATCGATGAGTTCTACAACTTTGGTTTTGGTGACTTTTCCATTTGAAATCATTTATTAACCCCATTTTTTTTGTTCGAAGTTGTCAAATTTTAAAAATTCAAAATTTGAATTGTTCAAATGAACTTATTTGTAAAAATGACGAATACAATAGTTGTAGATCTCGATGTGTTCTAAAATTTTGTTGTTTATAATTTTTGCATTTGAAACACAAAAATCAGCCTAAAATTAAATTTAAGTTATCATAAATTTAAGGTGAAACGTCCATTTTGTCCATACAATTTTGTTGCTACTACAGCACACCAGGGACATTTTGGTAAATTCGTCCTCTCCCTCTCCAATCTCCCTCTTCCTCTCCTCAGGTCGGGGCGCTGGCTGAGACCGAGCGGCGGCGGCTCGTTGCGATCGGGGCAGCACCCCGCTTCTCCCGTCCAATCCGGCGGTGGCTCGGTGACGAGAGGAGGGGCGGCGAGAGCTCGGCTCCTCCCTCGCCTCTTCTCCCCTCCAATCCCGGTGGCAGCGGCGGCGGCGGCTCCGCGACAAGGAAGGGCGGCGGGAGCTTGGTTCCTCCCTCCCCTCTTCTCCCCTTCAATCCCGGCGGCGGCTAGGCGACAAGTAAGGACGGCGGGAGCTCGGCTCCTCCCTCACCTCTTCTCCTCTTCTCATCCCCGCTTCTCCTCTCTAATCCCGGTGGGGTGGTGTAGGTGCGGGACAAGGGCGGCGGCTCGGCAACGGCGGCTCAGCGGCGACGACGACGACAGCGACAAGGGAGGGGCCTTGGCGACTTTGACGACGACCGCGACGACGGAGGGCCTCGTCGACAACGACGGCGCGCGGTGGACGGCGACGAGCGGATCCGGCACCACCTCCTCCATCCACCGCGCCACCTCCATCTCCGCCCCCAGCCACCTCTTCACCCTTCCCCGCCTCGCTCCCCTAGCCAGGGAAGGACGGTGGCGCGCGGATCTGCCGCCTCCCGTCGTCGGGAGCGACGGCGGCGCATGAATCCAGCGGCCTCCGTCCTCGGGAGTGCCCTGGCGTGAGCGGGAGTGCCGGCAGCACGCAGATTCGCAACGACGGTGACGGTGGCTGCAACGACGACGACAGCGGCGATGGTAGCTGCGACGACGACGACGGCGATGACAGCGGCTGTGATGAAAACGACAACGCTGTGATGCAAGTAGCGGCGGTGCTCTCTTCCTCTATCCTCCGCCATCAGCAGCACCAGTATACCCTGGGACGCCTACCGACGGTAACTACAATGCTCAAATCAGAAGAAAACTAAATTCTGCTGCATTAAAAGTGCATAATGAGTTCGTCTGTTTATGCCATTTTGTGGTAGTTTCCAGCAGCAGGAATGTCGTAGTCCCAATGTCTTGCATGAACTGCTAGTTTAAGTTAAGAAGCACCCCCCTCATGGTTCTAGAATTGATATATATATATATAGAAGCTAAGCGAACTACTTCAAATCATGCATATATGAGGTTTCAACCACTATACCAATAATGTTTAAGCGTGTCCATCGATCTAAACATGCTGTTTGAATATTGCGATATGCGATTATGCAAAAAGGTAGTATAAAAGGTAAACCTCTCTACTAGTAGCAGCTAGGTTCATCCATCACCTAATCCAATCATATAACTGGCAAGAGGGCGATCAAGCATAGTAGGATAACACTTACAGACCATTGATATATGCTCCTTTTGTATGCATCTGATGTGGAATCACACAATAGTGGAGTTCTCTTTCAGTTTATTAATCATGGTGGTAAACCATATATAGTTTTCACCAGTGTACAATATAGTGTGCAATTCATCAGTCCAATTGTATGGCCAGTAGCTCATGTGTAGCTTTAGGGGTAAATAGTAAAGTCAGAATATATAACTAGACATGCATGCAGTGTTGCTCCAGTATATTTCAGAGCTTATATGTACTGAACTTTTGTGCAATTTAGTTATGATGATCTGATCTTTTTGTATATGCCAGCTGCAATTTTCGATTATGAGCTTTGTATATCTTATGCACATATTGCTTAGTTCAGTATATCTTTTTGCACATATTTGCTTTGTATATCTTTTTGTATATGCCAGCTGCTTAGTTTATTTGCTTAGCAGCCCAATGATAAGGGGGTGGCATATGCATGTCATGTGTTATGTGCAAAAAAGCCTATTTTTTCATTTTACACTGCACTTTTTACATCCTTTATCTATTGATTTTACAAATGTAATTTTAGTTACAAACCACTGTAATTTTTAGTTCCAGTGTATGATTTTGTGAAATTTGAAGGTGATTTTAAGTTTCTGGAACATTGACGCTCCAGATTTGCTTCATTGTAGCTCACCTTGATTGGGAGTGTATGTAGACATAATTTGTCTTTTGTCCTTGTGACTAGCTGTCCTGTGCATTCATCTTTTTTTTTTTTTTGCGCTTGTGACTAGCTGTCGTGTAATACCGGTTTGCTCACTTAAGATATGATATGTCAGCTGATCGACAAGATTCTGTTAGGGTAACTAAACAAGGTATTGGCCTATTGGGTGGCTGTGTGGCCTGAATGGCTGCTAAGCTTACATGATTTGTTATAGCATGATTACATATGCATAAGGGAACAGGTGAACTTTCAGATTAGATTAGAATATGATGGAACCACTTTTGAATATTTGTGACTAGGAACCTTATTATGACTTTGATTATTTGTTCCAAAATTTAGTCTTTTAACATGCTTTATGTATTGACTTTACAAATGTATAGATCTCTGTTTTTGTCATGGATTCCTGGTTGAATGCTACTAATCATTTTCCATGTTGGATGCTTTAGTTTTATTCCATGGCACTAACTGCTTTGTGGTCTTCGTTGCTCTGACATCACCGAGTACTCATTTTTGTTCTTCTCAGGTTACTTTTTTGGGGGTGATGTTTCGATTTGCAAATCAAAACAAGATTGCTGCCTGATACAAAACTTAAGGTATTACCATGGTGTACTACTGTGATTTTGTTCTCCGGGTACTTTCTGATTGCAGGAGCTCAACTCAGCAGTTACTGATGTTTTGTCTTGTGCATATGCAGTGCTGCTAAGCTCACCTGGAAGATCTTGGTCACGCGGCATCGGGTGAAATTCTGTATGGTTACATTTAATTGGGTTGTAGATTCTGGGTTGTAAATTTTGTGTTGTATTGAATGTTTGTCGGGTTCCGATGGATGCTAATAGGGTTGTAACCTGTGTGCTGTATCGGTTGTTACTGTGTTTGATTGTTGGGCCTATATGGGCTTAGCTCTCTTGTTATTTGATACTAATGTAAATGAATATAATATGATTGGGCTGAAAATGGTGTGGTATAATGTTTGGGCCTATGGGCTTTTGCAATGGACTTGGCCTATTTATTGTTTGATATTAAAGCAAATGGATATAATAGAATTGGGCTGAAAATATGCTACATCATATATGGGCTAGGCTAAAATCTAGTTGGGCTTGTCATTGGGCTAAGCCCATAAAAGGGTGCTTAATACATGGATTTTAATGTCCATCAGGTATTTTATGACGTTTTTAGGCTAGATAATGACGAATATGAGCGTCACAAAGTTATGACGACTGAAGGATAGTCACTAGATTAATGACGAAAAAATAAGGTTTCGTCATAGAACGTCATTAAAGACGCATGATAGGTGACGAATAAATTTTCGTCACGCGAGCGTCACAGTACGAAACGTGACAAAAATTTCAATGTTTGTGACGTAAATGAAACGTCATCTATCATAAGATGTCTTGTAGTGCGTTACACTAGGTAGACCATTTTTTAAAAGCTTTATGTTAACTCCATTGGTAGCACTATTTTGACAAATTTTGATACAGGACATTAAAAACATGTAATTAGCTAAGTGACACCACAAGATAGTAAAACGGCTAAGAGACTAAAAAAATGTGTAATTTGTTACAGAAACAATTCAAAAGGACCATATTACCTTTGGGCTAGACATAGCTTCGATGAGGTGGCGATGACTTCCGTGATGGCGGCCTTGACCAGCGGCGAGCAGCAGCGGAAGGCGGTGGACTCTCAAAGCACGTCGCAGAACAACGGCGAGTACTTGTTATTGGCGGTGGTGACGAGCATCGGGATGCGTACTCGACGGTGATGGCTCCCACGATGCAACGGCCGTGCGCTTTAATTAGCCTGCTGTGCGTGCTGCTGCCGTCGCAGGTCACATACCGGTCCAATGGCGATCAGGGCTTCTTCGCGGGCGAGCCTTGCTAAGACGCTTGTGTCGTTCTACCTGCTCGCTAGTCGGCTTGGCATCGACGGAGCTGGCCACATCCAAATCGACTACACCGGTGAGGGTTCATGCCGCGCCGCTCCGTGAGCTGCACGACTTATTCGTTAGCGCCAAACTACCATGCATGCTTATGCTGGTGCAGGTCATGTACCTCCAGTGTGGTGGTGTCGTGCTCAGCCTGGCAACGCACCACACTAACTGTCGTCGATGCCCAAATCGCGTCGTACTTCGTGGAGACCTGGGCGAGAAACTCTAGTGCGGCGGTGTTGTGCTCAGCTCGGTTGTCGATGCCTAGAACACGTCGCACTTCATGAAGACGTGGGCGAGCAGATATTGCCCGTGGCTCTACCGAGGCGCCGCTGCTGCCGCCGTTGTGCTTCGACCACAAGCTAGCTGCTCACCACATGCGCCACGCCCACGCGTACCATGCTCTAGGACCACTCGGGTACAAGCCCCAAGCAGCGCCGCCGGCGCACGTACGTGACATGCTAAGCAAGCAGCAGGTGCGAGCGCACCATCATCATGCTAGAACAAGGAAGAAGTGAAAAAAGAAAAGGGCAAAATTGGCACTTCACACGGCTTCTCTCTCCTCAAGCAGATGTATATATTATTTTATTATTGCTCATAGTGTCCATCAGCAAATTATACGTTTTTGGTTTTTGGAGTGTGTTACAGCCGTTTCACGATCTTGCAATGTCCGTTAGCTAATTACACGTTTTTTCGATATCTGTAGCAAATTTTGCCCACTATTTATCAATATGGTACATGAAGCTATACATCAATTTAGAAATGGTCGAGTGTAGGAACAGGAAAACAAGCATTTCGCTCTATGAATGTTGGATGCCTGGGAGAATTTACTAAACCTGTGAATCAATTATTTGCTTCACATTATGGCTGCTTATATTTACATGGACGATTAAAAAGAAAAAAAAAAGGCCAAGGTTCAGTTGTTCTTACTCAGCCTTTACTGAAATGTTTGCCTCATAATATACCACTCAAAAAACCCCTACAAAATGATGAACAGTTCAGTATCCAAGAATTTAAAATGTGAATGACAAGTCGACATAAATGGGTAAACTTCATAACTTACCAGAATCCAGACGCTGACTTTTCATTTTCGCTGCATGAAAACAAGACCAATGATTGATACATCTATTATGTTATTAAATATTGTAAACACACACTAAAGGAAATGAAAATTTGTAAATGGATATGCTATTTTCGTGAATGTACTAGTGTACCAAAGCTAAATTATGTGAAACATATTGGATGATTAGGGGGAAATCTGATGTGGAATATTTAGGGACAGCTATGTTGCTACCATCCTACACCAAGTTGCAAATCATCACCTCCTCCAAGGATAACTGAATAAAAAAGAAACATTTCCCATGCACCCTTGATCCTTTTGACATAGAAACAAGTACTTTTAGAAAGTGTTCCAAACGACATTTATTTAAGAAGCATATGGGCATACCATTCAGAATAGTACAAAAAATCAGAACCAGTCTTAGATCTATCGACGATAAAATTTCCCCCTCTCAATCTATAGTGGGGAAATTTCATTTTCTTCTTTTATGTATCCAGATCTTATATACTTCTAAATGCTAAAGCAGCTTACTCAAATAGTTAAAAGGAAAAGGAAGGTGCATCCATTACTGAGATCTTACTTTTTACGTGGTCTGAATGCATTGGTGATTTCATCAGGAGTTGGCTTCTCCACAAATTCCTCTAAGAGAACATATCGTTCTTGTCCATTGGGTTCATCAACCCTTCGATAAATCTCATATTTATTAGGATAAGCCATCCTGTAGCATGTCAATAGAAACTGTAGTGTTAGAAACATAGTTTTTTTCTCGAAATAGAAAAATATAGCTACGTTGCAAGTTGCAACTATATTAAAATAGCCAGTGATTTGTACTGTTTGAAGTACAGAAATTGAAGAGAAAAACCTTAGAGCTCCCATAATAGGATAAAATGAGCCAGCATAGAAGAGAAGCCGGAAGGAATAACAAGTCTCAAAAGATGCAGCATATTTTAGCCTCATGTCTCTTCCCATTGTCTTGAACATGAAAAGTCAAGAGGTTCAGTACTGTTGGACAGGAAGTCATGCTAAAGATACAAATGAAGTCAAAAGAACTTACTTGCATTACACCACTTGATCCAGGCATATCCTGTAAATGAAAATGTCAGCAATGGTGTGAAGAGAAGTTATAGTTTTTTTAATGTTCTGAAGAGAAGTTCAGTACTACAGAGAAATCTTCAAAAGCTATAACATACTAAAATTGAAATTAGCACAAAAAAAATTAAATTAAAAAGGAGATAGTGTAATTGTCATGTAGGAATAACAAGATTCAATCCATTTCAATCTGATGAAGCCTGAAAGTTTTTCACACGTCCATTTGGTAGTTAATCCAAAGAAGACTGCACTATGTAGATGGAATGAAATGATCCCCAGATCATCATGGGTAAATGTTAAGCTGTGAGTTGCACAGCAACAGCTGAAGGGGGGGGGGGGGGGGTACTCTAGATAGATCTAGACGATGAACCTTAAACTCAAGATGAGGACTTGAGATGAGGAAAAACTACTTAAGTAGAATTGAAAGATCCCAAGTTCAGATTTATACCACTGAAATTCATGTTTACATTTTTTCCACCGAAACTTCTCTGTTTAGTTTATCATCAAAAGTTCCATCACATGACCATAAAACATCACATACTTGCTCGTCTGTCTCACTTCACCAAATCCCTAGCACTAGCACCAATATGGCATCACCACCAGCGCTCAGCTCCCACTGCCTCCTCTGCCTCTTATTCCTTTTCACTATTGCCCTCCACCGCTCATGGTCTCCCCCATGCTGTCATCCTCCACTTCCATGCATGGAGCCATAGTGTCGGGACACTCAGGTTCGTCGACCCCCATAAAGTGGCATTCCTACATAGTATTTCCGGGGGTCATAAGACCCTGGATAGATTATTCCATTCTAGCTATTTTATGCCATGTTAATTGTTATATCAGTCGATAATTAGATAATTAGTATGTATTGGACCCCCGGTAATTTCTGTTCTGGGTTCACCACTGCCCCCATGGGTATAGCAGTGAAGGAGCACCTCTTAATGACTTTGTAGAATGCATCTTCCAGCACATAATATCACAAGGCCAAAACCAGCCTGTTGCGTGCTCTCATTTATTACTCAAAAAGGATAATAGTCTCATTACATCTCTACTCACTTTATCAGAGAAATCAATTTACCAAATCAATCCTCTTCCCACATAAAACATATGAAAATGAAATACATCTACAAGCACCAAGGAACAGCAAATTTAACAAATTAGATTTGACAATTCAAAAATTAGAACTTAAGAGAGGCAATTTCAAATTGACAACTCAAATGCCATCTGAGGCTTCAACCGACCATCTATGATGGGAATGGAGCACTAGAATAATGGATTAGTAGGGTAATCATGAGAAATACAGAGCAAAAAGGGATGTACCACCTGAGATGAAAGCTTAATTATGGAATTATTTTGGCAAGAAAGAAAAGAAAATTTTAGGGGTTTTTCATACATGTGACAACACGGCATCAAAATAAGTAGATTTTTGGTTCATTGCGTTGAAATTATGGATGTCCTGATTGCAGATACATGCCCCAGCACTATTTCAGGTCTTAAACTCCTTAGCATGCACTATTACTCGCCTCTCCAGCCACCATTCACACACTCCACTACCCCACATCTTGCAAATGTCGCCCTGATACCTGCCCCACTGGACTTCCTGCACTGGCTTCAACCTCCTGAACCATCCATCTCTCCCGTATCCAACAAAAGAATGAGGCATCAGGTCAGCCGCATACTTAACCACTCTATTTTTCCCGTTGACTTTTCCACCTCCACGGCTCCCCCACCCCCGCACACCCACACCACACCCCTACTGCCAAAAAAAAAAGAGAGAGAGAAGAAGAAGATGCCCACCCCAAATATGAAACTCTAATGAGCAGGAGGGAAGAGGCGTGAATCTTAGTATAAATCCAACGTCCAATGGTGAGAAAATCGACTGAATCCACCCCCAAAATGTGACCATGAACTTTGGTGGAACAAAATTAAACTCAAGATCATTCAATAAACAAATTTCCCTACAAGGCACCTTATCAATTCCTCCAACTTCCTATCTCCGTCCCAAAATATAGCAACTTTTAGCTATGTGTCCAAATACATAGCTTGCTATATTTTGGGACGGAGATAGTAATAGATAAGCCAAACAAATAATGAACAAGCATAACATGGAGATAATAAGGAAATCTAAAGATAACTCATTCTGTGAGACAATAACTGTGGGCACCATGTGAACAGTTTTTCTGTAGGTTGACATAGAAGATAGAACCTCTTCAGAAGTGAGATTGGAACAAGATGCCAACCATAACTAGGAAGACAACAGAACAAAGAGAATAGATCTTTTCAAACCTTTAAGCGAGGATTTACAAGAATCACAGGTCTGTCACCAGCAGCATCAGTCATTGCTTTCATGTCCTGAAAATTTTCAGTTGTGACAGTTATATTTGAGAAGTGTATATATACAAAAGAGAAGGCCAAGACAGAATTTTCACATCAATTATACAGTTTCCAACAGCATTTTGGGGAGCAATGAGGATGAACATGTCATCTTCTTTATCAACCTCACTAGCACCTGTAATTTCACAAAAAAGGAAGTCAAAAGAGTGGTATTTAAGATATAGCAAAACACAGAAATTCTAGAAAAACAAAGGACCACAAAAAAAGGCAGGCAAGGTGTGGCTATGTTTTGTGGTTCTACTCTGCAAAAAGAATTAATATTTATGAACTGGATTGTGGAAAAGTTCGATGATTGTGATTTCACTGTACAGACAGGCTTGGAACATGGGGTATGATGAACAAGAAAGTGCAAGCAATCTCTTCCAAGGTGGAAGCACCGAAGCAGTGAAAACCTAACCCTATTTTGGCAGGACAATCGGTTAGATATGTGCATCAGAATATTGGACCCTTTCCCCTGACAAGCAATTAACAGAAGGCAATGAAAAAGCCAATGGATCAGAGACATCAAGGGCTCTTGTGGATAGCATATGCCTGAAATGTGATCTCTCGTATGCAACTGCACCCTGGAAGAGGATCAAATATATTGGCAATGGACCTCGTCATCTCAATTCTCGATCATGGGCACCATTGAAGTGCAAATTCTTGTAATGCTTAGCTGTTCTAGATAAGCATGGTTTTCCCCGCTAAGGTGACTGTCTACTCCTATGTGCTCACAGTAAGGAATCAGCAGAGCATTTATTCATAAGTTGTGTGAGGAAATATTCGAGGAGTTCCCTTGGAGTGTACACAACAGAAAAGCAGAAAAACACCAACAACAAGGATCAGCAGTTGTCTTGCATGAGCAGAGATATAAAAGAACAAGAAGACTTTGGCTCCCTAGTAATCCTGATGGTATGCAAGAAATGGGCAAAGAGAACTGCTAGAGTTAGCAGACAAACCAAAACTTCCAAAATTCCTACAGGATGAAGGGAAGCAACAGATATGGCCGAGAGTGGCAAATCTGAAACTTGGTTGGGATTAATGTATTTTGATGGTAGTTTCCTTGTGCTGATTACCTGCCTGACCACTCTATCTGTAACCAGCCAAGCTTTGATTTTTCTGCATATTCTTTCCTTTCTCCAGAGGGATGTTATATAACATGCCATTATGTACAAATTTCTTTTGACCTTGTCTTCTTAATTTAATGCAATGGCAGGAAATTTTTTTTTTCTGTGTTATCAAAAAAATTGCAACCAAAAGTCAGTAGTACCTTATGACATTTCTATCATAGTGATACATCATTTGTAACTGTTCCCTTCTCCATTTCAAATAGAGAAAATCAATCTCAACATAGATTTCATTGGTCATTCTCATTCTTTATATGTTTGAATAAAACGTTATAGGTAATTTATTTTGAATATCTGACAATATTTGCTGTATTGGATGGGCACTGTAGCATACCTACTGCTCCAAAATTAATGAAGGTACCCTTGGCCCCATATTCACCCCAGTCCATGATTTCCAAAATTTTTCTGGTTCCAGCAAGCTGAAGTGGAATACCAGCAAATGCACCTTGTCCCATGGAGCCTTGAACGCAAACCTGATATGAGCCATATTGTATCAGCTGAAAATTATAGAATGGGAGAGACAGAATTCAAATGATATACGCATTTGTGGCAAAGATAGGCACCTTCACACGCTTTCCATCATCAGCAAAGGAAAGAGAAAGCTCTCGCACAAGTTCCATGAGGGTTCCTATGCGATAAACATCCTGAAGATAGAAGACGTTTGGTTAACAGCTGACACCAGCACTCCATAAATATCTTCCAATAGACATTAGAAAACATTTATAAGCACTTGTGTTCTTACCATTTCAGGGTTAAGTTCAGGAATGTTGATATCTATCTGCATGTTGGGAAATGAAGATAGTTATGAGCTTGTTTGGCTTTCATATGTTATTCAAAATAGGTACTTGAGCAAAAGAAAAAGGAAACCTACCAGATTATTTCATTGCAATAGTTAATAGCATGAAGTTCAAACAATTCTACAGCAGACTAACCGTGCAAAAGAACTAGAGCAGACTACAAGGTGCTTGAGTAAACAGGAACCACTGTGACTCAGTCCGAACAAAGAAAAACAATTTGCATTAAAAATAAATGGCAAGTACTAACCTGCAACCGAGTTTTTTTGTCTTCAACAGCATGTCTGGTGGCTACTAGTACATCATTGTAAAAGTATTTCCTGATTTCCCTGGAATGTGGAATGTTATTTAATCTTGTTGGAATCCCACGAAACTCCTGCAAGAAGCATTTAAACATGTATAAACAATACAAATCTAAGTAAACAAACTTCCCATCAAAGTTTCCATTAATATGAAATGGCTTACTATTTTACACATACATTTTTTGAGGCTGTTGTATCCTTAGAATCTTGTGGTTTTCCTGTTAAGCGGAGTTTAAGCATTTATTATGACTAAATAGACAAGAGGTGTCAAAGTTAACAGTTACAGAAATAAAAAAAAAACTGTGAGAATTGACACAAAGTTGATGCAGTTAAATTTCCAAAAGTTAATGGGCATTAATAAAGCAGGTGAAATTTAGTGAAACACCATGAAAGCATAGCTGTAGCTCCATGACACCAAGAATAGATGCCTTCTGCTTATACCAATATGGTTCATTGGTATTCCATTGAAAATAAAATTAATTCAATGGCATTGAAGTTACTTTGGGGAATCGAAAAATCATTGTTGAAAGCTAGTGGTACAGATTTGTGGTAGGGTAACATTGATACGCATTAGGTCCCACTGCACCTCCAACTATTTTCACCAGCCAAAGGACTCACTTTCCACCCTCCTATACGCATAGCCATTCCTACCTCAAGCATATGCCTCCTCCTGTGGCTTCTTCTTCCACCTTTGAGACTGAGATGACCTCCAACCTATTAGACTGGTGACATTGCATAGTTGTGTTAGATTGTTAATTTCATGTTCATCAATGAGCTACGAATCCTTGAGTTTGTCAAAGGTGTTGCTACTTGTCACATTGAGAAGGCCCAACCTTTGCTGGTGCTGGAGGAAGGCATGCCAGCGACTAACACACTACGAGTCTAGGATGCTCAAATAAAGTGTTTTTTTTACCTCACCTAGGCCTCATGGTCAGCCAGAAAATAAAAGGTTAACCAGGACTTTTCTCAGTTTCTTCTCTTCCCATAATTTCAAAGAACGTTTTTTTTTTCTGCTGGACTAAGCTGTCGAAACGTTAAAATTGTAATTGTAGGAAAAAACAGCAATTTTCAGGTCAGAGAGTTATAGACTATAATTGAACTTTCACTTGTTACACAACATTTTTTTTCCAAAAACCATGAATCTGTGATACTTCTCATCTACTGATTGCTCCATACTGAAATTAGTTGTCTTTACAGCTGAATTCCTGGAACATTTCAAGGAAATAGAGAACAGCTGGAACATTTAAACAAGTCTGGTTTGTATTGGATATTTACTAACAGACTAATAAAGAGACATAGCAATGAGCAAGTACTTCCTTAATTGTAGGATCATACCAGAGTACACGTATACAGGTCTAGGGCCACCGATCTGTGTAATTTTCATGTAATTTTCTTTCTATATTTTTTTTACTGGCCCAAATATCCACATAATTTTCATGTAATTTTCTTTCTATCTTTTTTTTTTTGAAACTATCAAAACCCAGTGTAACACATACTAGTTTAGTCCGAGGTTTGGACCAGTTTATGGATGTTGCATCTTATGGATGATAACCTTATGTTTATGGATGCAATGATGATATATACTGATACTTGATATGATCCAACAATAATTGAACATTTTAGTTAAAGGATAAGGTTACCTGAATGTATGGTTCTAAAATATTCAAAAGGATGTATGTCAAAATGTATGGTTCCAAAAGATTCAAAACATAAACAAAATAGAAGTATGACTGAGAAATGATGCATTGGAGTTTGCTTATTTAAGTACTCCCTCCGTTTTATAATGTAAGACTTTCTAGCATTGCTTATATTAATATAGATGTTAATGAATCTAGACATATATGTGTATCTAGATTCATTAGCATCTATATGAATATGGACAATGCTAGAAAGTCTTACATTCTGAAATGGAGGAAGTAACTAAATAGTAGAGGAACTTCATTTTTGTAACTGACCATTTGTTTTGGCCAACATGTTAAATGAAGCATTCTCACAGATCTTCTGTAACAGTGAATCTATTTCATTAAAAACGACTTCCACTTGTCGATTTCCATCAATCTATATTCTTGCAAATTGAAACAATAACATATTAGTTCCAGTTTACAGTTTAAATCAGTGCTCTGATATGAATAGGAACACATATAAGAACCTGGTTGAGCAAATCTGAGTATGTTGGGATAACAGCTTCAGAATTTTGTTTGTAAGTATCAAGACGTGATTTAACCTGCAGAGAAAAAGAACAAACTTATGTTTTAGAATGCAGAAGAATGGGAAAATTCCAGCACATGCATTGCGGCATTATAAAAAGGAATACATTTAAAACTACATATACATACAGTAAATAAAATAGGAAGGTTTCAATCCTGTCACAAAATTGTCTATACTACAAGGCATCCCTTTGGAAATCACAGTGAACTAAAAGTAAATAAACAGTGTCTAAAGCTTCTAGTATCTACAGAAAGATATTTACGATGCTCTTTACCGAAATGAGGAAGAATAGTCACATATCTATTTTGTTGTCTCAGGTATAGAAATGAGCCTCCAAGTCAAGAACTCAAGCTATAAAATATTATAATGTGTACACAACTTTAACTCACAAATAAATAGGAATTGTAAACCAGCTGAATCCTCAAACTACCACATTTTCATAGTCCTAAATTTGGTCCAAGTTGGAGTAGATGAATGTGCATAGATCATGAAATCAATAAAGTCCTATGCGCTAAGATTAGAATGACAAGCACTTCTTCATATGGTTATTGAACAGGCAAGCACTTCTTCATATGGTTATTAAAGACAAATCATGGCAAACACAACAACATAACCTTCTCAAATGTATCATCAGAGCGTGTAACAAGACGAGCAGAAACTTCATCATTCTCCGGAGGGAAGTTCTTTATGTGGTAAATTTTGCCAGTCTCAGGATCCAACCTTCTTCCAACACATCTGTCGATTAGAATATCATCAGGAACCTGAATTTAACAACAAAAATGTAACGAGAGGTCAAAGAAATATGTAGTATGCAATGTCAGGTAAGAGAACAACATAAAATGCATGCTATCATTCGCTTTTAGGACTGAAAAAGGGTAATTGCACCAGTAATAAAATTTGAATAAAACTGAGCATGATCCAAACTTAAATACAGATTCTTCACTCATCACTGACTCAGTGAATTTACAACTGAAGTGTAAAGTGCCGTATCATTAATTCACTGTCATTTTGAACACAAGCAACAAAGTAAAGAAAACAAGGAATTGGACAGATACTTGGGAGTTGGCATGAGGTCCTATGGTAGAATCTGGTAAAGAGTCTTTGATTGCAATTTTGAGAAGGGCACAGACAACCAGTTTCCCTCCCTTCCCATGATCATGGTTGCGACATTGCCAATAAAGCCTAATTCTAATATTAAATTGTAGTCATCGACTTTTAAAGCCAATTTAAGCTAACAAGCAACTTCATGAAACCAGAGATTTTTTTAGTTAAGACATAATGAAGCTCATACTGGAGAAGTATTTGAGAAATGAATCATATATGTTTTAAATGTCCTTTTGGCATCTTCTATATCATAATATCAGAGCAATGCAAACAATTGGCATTATATAAAATTAATACCCATGTTCTTACTGAGATAGGAATGACTGATGTGGTTAAAATAAAATCTAGTAAACCAAAATGTTATATGAAAAAATAACCGTAGATACATTGTTGAAGTATCCTGTAATATTCTCATGAACTAAGAATTTGATGAACTGATTGTAAAGCTCAATCTGGTATAAAAACCAAGACTCCAAGAGGTATTATATTCATGGTCTATGTAATGTAATGTTCAAAAAATAAACCGTAGCCCATGTCTAGTCCACACGTCTTAGGCCTAAAGACCCTCTTGTGAGGTTGAGGCATAGTATTGAAGTATGTTTTCATCCTTTCTTTTAAGCTTAATCTTTTGGGTCAATTAGCTAGTCCGTTAAAACTCAATATGTATACAGTAGATAATGTGTCTTAAATGGTAAATATGGACTTACTTCCAGCACAATGAATATATCTGGTCGTATTTTCATACTTTCGAGACTTTGTGCCTGGGCATAACTTCTCGGGTAACCATCGAGAAGCCATCCTCTTTCTCTAACATCAGGTTGTGATAGTCGTGATACCACCATCTATTTCAGAGAGCAACCCGTATAAGATAGTTTGCAGAATTTCAACCGGCTATAAAGATGGCATACCTGAGAACCAATCTACATACATCTGTCACAACTTGATCCGGGACTAGCATACCATTGTCCATATATTCTTTTGCTTTCTTGCCTATTTCGGTGCCAGAAGATACTTCGGCCCGCAGAAGATCCCCAGTTGATATGTGAACCAAACCATACTAGAAACAGAAGAGAATACAATACTAAGCTTAGAAGTCGCTTGAATAGAATGCATGTTGCACACTGAATATAATGATTTTACAAAGAATCCAGAAGAAGTAGCCTAAACATATATGAAACGTTTGTACTTTCACATACATGCATAACATTGAGCAAAGACCTACATGGATACATGTAATTCAAATGGAAACCAAATCTAGAAAATTTTCAAGAGCCTTGATTCAACAAACCCATATTTCCATACTCTCTACAAGAAATGGTCAATGTGAATATCTGGGAAATGGCATTAAGAAAAAGTGTCGATTGTTTTTTTTTTCTATTATACCTTCTCGACGATCATGCGGCATTGCGTTCCCTTCCCAGACGCGGGTGCACCCGAGATCATCACCTTGAGCGGGGCCTCCTTCCGCGCCGCCGCCGCCGCTCCCTCCGATGCCCGGCAACGAAGACCCATCCCCTGCCAAACCACAAGGCGGTTAGCCCCAGATGGGAACAGCCGCGAGCGTGCCCAGTGCACACGATCGGACAAACGAGAGGGCCAAGCCGAAACCGCACGAACCCTGGGCCCGCGATTCGGGGCGGCGGTGGCGGAGACGGACGAGACGGCCGCGGCGGCGGGGGAAGCGCGGCAGCAGGACAAGGAGGAGGAAGGCGGCGTCGGCGGCGAGGGGCGCAGCGCGAGTCCGGGGCGGCGGTGGGGCCCCGGCGCGGCGAAGGGAGCGGAGGCCGCGGCCGGCGACGAGGAGGAGGAGGAGGCCGCCATTTGCGCGACGACGACGAGGGGAGCGCGAGGCGAACGGCGAGGAGTGTGCGGGCGTGTGTGTGTGGAGGGAAGAGAAGGTGTATGTGGATTGGAGCTCGCGTCGCGCGCTGACGTGGCACCGCTCAGCTCCCGCGGCGGCCAGGCGTGGGACCCGCGGTCCGCCTGGAACCGCGCTGAGGTGGGGAAGGAAACGACATCCTCGATTCCTTCGGAGGTGTGGATCTACCGAGGAAAAAGTACAATCCCTCCCTCGTCAAGATATAAAACCGTCCCCCAACCACAAAACTATATACAACATCCCTCACTAATAAAACTATTCACTTCTTCGGTGGTTTTGACCTCTGTTTTGTTAGGCGGGGCGGCTGAGTCAGTGTGGGCCCCACATGTCAGAATGTCAGGTCATCTCTATCTCCCCTCTTCTCACCCTTCCTCGGTTCCTCCTTTCTCTTAGTCTTCTCTACCTGTAGGCCAGTCGGTGGGGTGAGGTGGGAGAGGAGGGTGGCACCGCACCGACGGCCGCCGACGTCGGCGGTGGCAGCGGGAGAGAAGGGAGGGCATCGCCGCGTATGCGAGCTCAGGGTCGGAGAGGCTCGGGAGGCAGGAGAAGGAGGAGGGCATTGGCGTCGCTGCTTCGACACCGGATGGCTCCTCCATTGGCATCAACCGCGACGATAACCCCGTCGCCGCCGCCTTCCGCCCGCCCGGCTCCGCAAGGATCCCTACCACCGGCCCGAGAAGGGAGACGCGGTCGACGCCCCGTCGCCGCCCAACTCCGGAAGTGCCCGAGGGCGGGGGTGGATGGATCCGCGCACCGGTGTCTACCTCTCCCACCGCCACCTCCTCCCGACCAAGCTCCGCGGCATCTTCTTTCTTCTCTCTTCTTCACAAGCTTGAGAGGGAGGGGGGAGGTGGCTGGCGGGAGTGTGTGAGCGCTAGGCAGCGGTGGGTGGAGCAAGCGGCGATGGGCGGAACAGGCGGCGGTGAGCAGAGTGGGAACGACGCCGAAGACAGCTTATTCCTGCGCGCTCGCCTGCCGCGGCGCCCGCTCCGCCCGCCACCACCCCTGCTTCGCTGCCGGCCACCTCTCCCTCTCAAGCATCGCAGCCGCCGCCGCCTCCCTTCTCACGTGTCGTCGCCGCCGCCGACACCTCCCGGGCCTCTCCGATGGTCTAACCCCGAGGTCGCACGTGCCGTCGTCGGCCGCCGGATCTTCTTTCCCGCCTCGTCCCGGTGACATCCTCCCCACCCACTAGCCGCCCTGCGGAGAGGAGAAAAGTGAGAGAGAGAGGAGGAAGGGGGAGAAGAGAGGGGAGAGAGATGACCTGGTATTTTGACATGTGGAGCCTACATGGGTTCTACGCTGACTTAGCCGCCATGTCGGATAAAACCGGGGTCAAAAACGACCGAAGGACCTAAAGTGAATGGTTTTATAACTTGAGGGATGTCCTGTATTTGATTTTGTGGTTGGGGGACGATTTTGTAACTCGATGACAAATTGATGGACCTTCGGTGCTTTTTTTTCCATCTATTGAAACTGGAGTATAAATGGGCTGTAGACCCGTCGTTAGTGGGCTATTATGAACTTGGGCCTGGTTGTTACTTTGGGTAACAATTTTTGTCTAAGGCTCTAAGCCCAAGCTAGGTCTATTTATTTGGGAACAAGTGCACGTAAGGTCCCTTATTTTGTTATCGAATTATAAAATCGTCCTCCAACCAAAAAACCAAATATATAGCATTCATCAACTTATAAAATTGGGTCAGTTTAGGTCCTTAGGTGGTATTGACCCCAATTTTATCCAACGTGACGGCTAAGTCAGTGTGGGACCCACGTGGACCCCACATGTCAGGGTGACTTCATCATCACCCTCTCTCTCCCCTCTTCTCTCCCTTCCTCCTCTCTCTCTCTCATTTTGTTCCTCGTCTAAGCGGGTCGGGCGGCGGGTCGAGGCGGGAGGAGATCTGGTGGCCTGCGACGGGCAACGTGGGGGAAGGGGCGATGTGGCGGCGCGGCAGCGGCGGCAGCAACGGGCCGAGAGCAAGTGGGCATCGTAGCAGTGTACATGGAGGTGGAGACAGGGCCGGGTGTCGCGGAGGTGGAGGCAGGCGCCGTGATGGTTGGTGTAGAGGCGAGCGTTGCGGTGGTGGGCGCCGTGGAGGTGGACTCGGAGCCCCGGCATGCTCCCGCGCCGCCTCCTCCTTCTCCCCGTGTGTTCGCCGTCGGCCTCCCCATCTCCCTTGACGGCCTCCCAGCCTCCTTCCTCTTCGTGCATGCTCGCCGCCGACCTCCTCGCCTTCGGACGGCAGGTGTAGTAGTAGGCAAGCCGTCGGTGACATCGACGGCAAGGGCGGCGCGTGGATGAGGACGGGAAGGACCAGGTGTCGGAGCTACAGGAACAGTGGGGGATGGCGGCGTCAATCACGTTGCTCCAGCTGCACGTTGGCCCTATCCTCGTCGACGCCGCATCGTCGTCGACCTCCTCGCCTCCGGCCGATGGGCGCGAGAGCTGGTGAGGCGTCGGTGGCGTTGGCTGCAAGGGCGGCGCGATGTATGAGGACAAGGAGGACCAGCCGTAAGTGGCATCGGAGCTGCAGGAGCTATGGGAGGATGGTGGCGCCAATTGCGTTGCTCTCGCTGCACATCGGCCCCATCCTCGTCGGCGCAACACCGTGTTGCCTCCGCTGCTGCGTCGCCCGTCACTGCCTGTTGGACCTCTTTCTCTCCTGCCTCACCCCGCCGGCCTCCTCCGCACCCACTGGCCAGCCCGCCCAGACAAGGAGCAAAGTGAGAGGGAGAAAGGAGGAAGAGAGAGAAGAGAGGAGAGAGATGGTGATGACATGGTCAACCTGACATGTGGGGCCCATGTGGGTCCCACGCTGACTCGGTTGCCACGTCAGATAAAACCGGGTTCAATACCATCTAAGGACCTATAGTAACCCAGTCTTGTAAGTTAAGGGATGCTATAGGAGTATCTGGTTTTTCAATTGAGGGACGATTTTGTAATTCGATGATAAGATGAAGGATCTTAGATGTACTTTTTCTTTTTCCATTTGTTTGGTATCCTGGGAAGCTTCATAAATCCTACCCGAGTACACTTTCTTTGGTATGCTAAATCTTTTTTTCTTTGAAAAAGTAAATTGTATTCACGGTACAAGAATTTATCGGGTGGGTGCGCTTCAGTATAAACACTTGAAATTTGAGTAGTGAATCAACTTACTAGATGGTGCATTTTCAGTCAAAGTGCAAGTCTCGTTGGATTTTTTTGCCACATCAGCGGCACATTGGCACTGATTAAACACCACCAATCTCTAAATTTCAGCCAAATACCAACCATTCACCATCTCACCAGCATCCACTATCCACATATCGTGAGAGCCATCTCCCCCTTCCTTAAACTGATCAGCAACAAATCCACCGGTGTGTCTCCATTGATTAACATAGTAAATTATCGGTGCATACTTGCTAAACTAACAAATAAACGCTTAAAAAACAATGCAAACATGTCCACCTTCATCATGGCCTCGGTTCATGTGATGATCCCTATGCAGTTAGTAACATGTAGACATCAAAGCCACAAAGCATATAGGGATTAAAACCTGACCGAAAATGTCGTGTGGCTTCCACTTGCCCGCTGGGGCAAAGAAAATCCCACAGGGCTTTCACTACAATTGAAAATGCACCGCCTAGTTAAGTTGGTGTACTTTAACGCTTAAATTTTAAGTTCTTGCACTAAACTGCACACACCTAACAATTTGTTGTACCGTGAATGTAATTTACTCTTTTTCAAACATTTAATTTGGATGAGAGCGCGAACCTGTAACTGCTCTAAACTACAAGTCTGAACTCATGCAAAGAGAAAGTGAGATAACATGAGAGTTGTGGCGCCACAAATATAGCAACGCCGTTTAATAAAATAAAATTGTTGTTGTTTGTGTATTTGAGGTAATTACCAAGTAGATGACATGGTTAAAATAAGTTGTAGTAGCCTCCAGAACTTGCTCTTAATAATCATTGTTCCCTAGCTGTAGGGTATGTAGGGCATATAAAACCACAATTAATATTGAGCTCTTAGAGTTGTTAACAAAATACTCCCCCTATCGGAGTAAGTTGATCGAGATGGAAGAGAGATGGGAAATGAAACAAAAGGATCGTTGTTAAGCTTAGCAATAGCTCAATATCGACTCTTAGCGCTTATAAAATAGAGATGGAAAAATGGAAAGAAATTAATACGTAGAAAATTATTTTGGTACACTAATTACAGCTTTTGTCTTCTTAACCATTATAAAAAGATAATTTCTAAATAAACTAAGAGCCTACATACCGAGCTATATCTTTAAATATGCCCTTAGAGCATCTCCAACAGCCTCTCTATTTTACTCTCCAAGCTAAATTTTAGCTATTCCAGCTTAAAAAAGTCATCCAACAGCCTCTCCAACCGGATGGCCAAGCCCCATCCGGCTGGCCAAAACCCTCCCTCCACTAGCCAAATTTGGCTAGCCAAAAGTCGCTAGCCAACTATGGGCCCCACACACATTCCTCCTTCCATCTCCTCTTCGGCTCCTTGCATCGGCTTGCTTGCTATGTCCTGGTGTCGACGACGGCACAAAGGAAGAGGCGTCGAAGCAGCGACTGCCGCCGTCCTCCGCGCCGTTGCCCGCCGTGACCACGCCGTTGCTCGCGCTGTCCTCCGCGACCGCCGCCACCAACGAGAAGCAGAAAAAAAGCAACATAAGGGAGGGGAGCGTGGAGCGGACGAGGCCAACGAGGAGTGAATCCGGCGTCGCCATTGCCTAAGCAGGAGCCCGTTGTGCGTCGCTGTCATCCCCGCGTCGCCGTTGCAGCACCAATCCCGCACCCACACAGAGGAGCGCCATCACCACTGTCGTCGTCAAGGTCGCCATCGCCATCCACCACTGCTGCTGAGGTCTCCGTCGCCAGCCGTCGCTGTCGTCGTCTGCTACGTCGCCATTCGCTGCCATCGTCACTGAGGTCGCCAAGTCTAGAGGCCTCTAGCCAAGCACGGCGTCCGCCCCCGCCAGATTCGCTCGGCTCTGCCCCCACTGGATTCGGGGTGGGGGCACGACCTCTGCCGCCTCCATGCGGCCTCCGGCCCCGCACGGCCTCCGGCCCCGCACGGCCTCCGCCTCCGTTCCATGGGTCATCGTCGAGGCCGTCATTGCCAAGGTCGCCGTTGCGAGCCGCCGCCGTCAGCCTCTGCATGATCGTCGTCGCGCACTTGCACGGGAAGAGGGCCGTGAGAAGAGGAAGAGGGAGAAAAAGAGGAGGAAGAAGGGGTAGTAGAAGCTGACGTGTGGGTCCCAGTGTCATAGGCTCGTAATGGAGAGTATTGATGGAGAGCCTATTGGAGTGAGGAATGAGTTTGGGTTACCAAATCAATTGGAAAGCTGACTATATAAGTGTTTGGAGAGTCCGATTTGGAGAGGCTATTGGAGATGCTGTTACATGGAGCAAATCTTGCTAATCAAACAAATCCAATATATCCATGGTTGCATCTTTGGCGACCACAAGGCCTGCTAGTTTCTTCTTGTGCTGGAATCTTGATCTATGTTCAAAAAGGTTTTCTTGCTAGTGAGGCTAGCTAGCTTTGCTTAGTCAAAATGTACGACAAGCATGCAATCATCAATTTCTAACGCTGGTCTTATGTGCTAATTAACTTTGCTCGTTTGCTACTCTACTTCGATTCTACTTAAGTTGTAGCTAGGCAGAAGGACTTTGGTCCATATTTTCTCTTTTTTTTGTAGAGTTTGAATATTTTTGTATTTAGTTGTAAATGTTTATCTTATATATTTTTTAGTATATGTTAGAACAATTTATTAGTTGACCCTTTTTATCTAAAATATAGAAGTGAGTGTGTTTAAATAGAGAAGAGTATAAATTTCACAAAAATACATATACTTTGATGAAACTATCACAAAACTACATATTTTAAAAAGGTGTATCACAAAACTGTAGATTTAGGATGAAAGATCACTGACTATACATTTAATAATACAATTATCACAAAACTACAAATTTAGCTTCATGTTTAGTACTAAACTACAACATTTGTAACCGTAACATAGCAGTAGTGGTAAGGATTATTAAACTATAGAATCTGTAGTTTTATTTTTATGATAACTCTGGTATTAAATCTAATATTCGATTTTAAATATGCAGTTTTGTGATAGATTTTATATTAAATATATAGTTTTGTTTTGTAACACTTTCAATATGTAGTTTTGTGATAATTTAGTTAAACTACCCGTAGTTTTGTGAAATTTACTCAATAGAGAATAAGGGGAATGATAATAAGAATGGTTAGATTTTCACTTAATGTTGAGAAAAACTGACCAAAATTCATCTAAAAATTGGACAATCCCATTAAGTAAACCTATTCGATTTTTCACACCCAGTTCATGCTCTCAAAAACTCCCATTTCATGGGTGATAACTGATAAGTAAAGTACCTTTTTTTTTCTTTTCTTCTTTGATAATCAAGCAGGTGTACTCAATAAGAACAGGTTTTGCACGACACACATTGATCAGCTCACCTCTTCATCCTCCTGCACGCGAGAATGGCCATGGCGACGCCAATGGCTCCCCGCTCCACGTTCGCCATCTTCCTCATCCTCCTGCTCCGTTCCGGCCACTCTCCGGCGGCCGCGTTCTATCTCCCGGGCAGCTACCCGCACCGCTACCGCCCCGGCGAGGCGCTGGCCGCGAAGGTGAACTCCCTCACCTCGCCGTCGTCCAAGCTCCCCTTCCCCTACTACTCCCTCCCGTTCTGCGCGCCGCAGGGCGGCGTCAACCGCGCCGCCGAGAGCCTCGGCGAGCTCCTCCTCGGCGACCGCATCGAGACCTCGCCGTACCGCTTCTCCATGCTCAAGAATGCCACCGCCTTCCTCTGCCGCACCGACCCGCTTCCCCCCGCCACCGCCGACCTCCTCATGTTCCGCATCGACGACGCCTACCACGTCAACCTCCTCCTCGACACGCTCCCCGTCGTCCGGTATGTCAAGAACCTGGCCGCGCCAGGGGTGTTCGTCCGGTCTACCGGCTTCCCCGTCGGCGTGCGCGCCGACGACGGCGAGTACTACGTGTACAACCACCTCAAGCTCACCGTGCTGGTCAACAAGCCGCGGAACGGCACCACCAGGGCGGAGGCCCTGATGGCGACCGCCGACGCCGTCGAGCTCATCAGCTTCGCCGGCGGGAGCAAGGACGGCGGCGGGTACACCGTCGTCGGGTTCGAGGTCGTTCCGTGCAGCGTGGAGCACGATGCGGCGGCGATCAAGGGCAAGAAGATGTACGACGAGCTGCCGGCGAGGGCGGCCGCCGGGTGCGACCCTTCGGTGGTCGGCATGCGCGTGCGGGCCAACCGGCCGCTCGTCTTCTCCTACGAGGTGGCGTTCGTGGAGAGCGGCGTCGAGTGGCCGTCGCGGTGGGACGCGTACCTGGAGATGGGCGGCGCCAAGGTGCACTGGTTCTCCATCCTCAACTCCATCGTGGTGGTGGCGTTCCTCGCCGCCATCCTGCTCGTCATCCTGCTGCGCACCGTGCGGCGCGACCTCGCGCAGTACGACGAGCACGGCGGCGAGGCGGGGTTGGCGCCGCAGGCGGACGAGCTCGCCGGGTGGAAGCTCGTCGCCGGGGACGTGTTCCGGGAGCCCGCCCACCCGGTGCTCCTCTGCGTGATGGTCGGCGACGGGGTGCGCATCCTGGCCATGGCCGTCGCCACCATCCTCTTCGCGGCGCTCGGGTTCATGTCGCCGGCGTCGCGCGGCGCGCTCGTGACGGGCATGCTCGGCATCTACCTCCTCCTCGGCTTCGCGGCGGGGTACGCCGCCGTGCGGCTCTGGAAGACGGTGCGGCACGGGGACAGCGCCGGGTGGAAGCGCGTGGCGTGGCGCGCCTCCTGCGCCTTCCCCGGCGCGGGCTTCGCCGTCTTCACCGCGCTCAACTGCGTGCTCTGGTACAACGGCAGCACGGGCGCCGTGCCGTTCCTGCTCTTCGCCGTGATCCTCCTCCTCTGGGCGTTCGTCTCCGTGCCGCTCACCCTCGCCGGCGGGCTGGTGGCATCCCGCGTCGGGCACCTCGAGTACCCGGTGAAGACGAACAAGATCGCGAGGCAGGTGCCGGCGGCGCAGTGCTCGCCGTGGGTGTTCGTGGCGGTGGCGGGGACGCTGCCGTTCGGGACGCTGTTCATCGAGCTGCTGTTCATCATGTCGAGCCTGTGGCTGGGGAGGGTGTACTACGTGTTCGGGTTCCTGCTGGTGGTGATGGCGCTGCTGGTGGCCGTGTGCGGCGAGGTGTCGGTGGTGCTCACCTACATGGGGCTCTGCGTGGAGGACTGGAGGTGGTGGTGGCGCGCCTTCTTCGCCTCGGGCTCCGTCGCGGCCTACACCCTCGGCTACGCCGTCTACTACCTCGTCTTCGACCTGCACAGCCTCAGCGGCCCGGTCTCCGCCGCGCTCTACGTCGGCTACTCGCTGCTCATGGCGCTCGCCGTCATGCTCGCCACCGGCGCCGTCGGGCTCGCCGCCTCCTTCGCCTTCGTCTACTACCTCTTCTCCGCCGTCAAGCTCGACTGATCCATGGCGTCATCGTCCGCACTGTCCACGTCATTTCATTATGTAGGTGATCTATGCGTTTTATTACTACATGATAATAAGATTATTATTTTTTGTTCCTCGTTTTGGTGTTTTCCATTTTGTACTTCATGAGTATACACCGTAGTAGTACTAGATAGAAACGAGTTTGAGTTTGGTTTAAAGGAGCACTATTACAAGATTTCACTTTGTATTTATATCTGCACGTGTCAGCTGTTTGACTTCCACTGCCTTTGCTTAAGATCTATCCATGTGTCAAGTGTGACTACACATAGCTTTGCTTAAGCTTTATTCAACCTGTCAACTTTACTAGGTCTACGGGAACCTTTTCGTGAGACGAGAGATAGGCAAACAATTTGCTAGGTCTTCTCATCGTTCAGAGAACTTCTGTTTAAACTTACTGGTTAGAAACCAGATCCAGCCATTCTGTGTATGAAGAGACTCACTAGTTTGGATTTGGCTTATAAGCCAAATGCAGTTTTCAATTTTAGAACTAGTTTAGGGTTTAGTGTTACAACCGCTAAGTATAAAAGCTTAATCCTAGAATTATTTCAAGTTCAAACAAGCAGAGGGATTCGAGACGCAAGACGAATGCAACCTGCTGATGCAAAGATCACAGGGAGATCACAGGGCATCCATCGCAGCTTCACATTACTTCAGAAAGACAAGTTGACACAAAAACACTAGATGAGACGTACCATGGAAATAAATAACTTTCCTCCAGAGAATTGAACAAAACAACAGGGAATGAAAAATGTGAAATGCCGCAATGTAAACAAGATAGAACCTACTGCCTACAGCCAGGGGCATCGGAACCCACGATTTCGCGTGCTGTTTGCCGCGGCCAACGGGGTTATGCTCTCCTAGCATATATACAACTAGGTTATCAAACTCAAGCGGCTGTAAAAGGTACATAACATAGATAACATAGATAGATAGAAGGCACATATGGTATTAATACTTATTCTTAGCTCCCAGCCCCATTGACTTGGGTCGCCTCACCGCAGTCAAGGGGTTGACGATGCCCTGGCCATCCTTCCCCAGGCCAGAGCCCTCAACGAACCCCATCCTCGCCATCATCTTGGATCCAAAGCCCTTTGTATGCCTCTCAAAGGAACCAACGCCACCAATCTCCACTTTCCTCAAATTCCGCCATGGTTCTGACCTTGCTTTGGTTGGTGGTTCTGACCTTGCCTTGATTGCCTCAGCCTCGCTGTCAAATTCTACTCCCAGTCCAAGAGATTTGGGACGTTGAATTGGCTGGATGGGCTGCATCATGCCTTGGCCATCTTTGCCCAGGCCAGTTCCCTCAATGAATCCCATCTTAGCCATCATCTTAGAACCAAAGCCCTTGGTGTGCATCTCAAAGGTTCCCAGCTTGACAGAGTCGCTTTCAACAATTTTCTCACATGAGACTTCACCACTGGTTGTGGCAACTGCAATTGTCTCAGTAACAGATTCCGCCATAGTGCCACAGGAGACAAAAGATACAGGACGTTCAGCAAATGATACTTGTTTCTTGGAAGATTTCTTTCCACTGGAAGTCTGATTCCTTGCCAACTTTCCTGGAGCTGAGAGGCCCTTCACTTGGGCTGGACGTTTAGAGTTCTCCCAATTGACAGTAAAGTCCTCAGGCTCAGTTCCCAAGAGCTGAAATATAGAAGAAAAGCAATTTAGACAGAAGATTGGAACAATTAACACTGGCAAGGAGATAACATGATTGCAATAAAACAAAATATCAAGACCAATTATGCCAAATAAAATGTTTTTTGGTGAATATCAAGACAAAAAAATGATGTACAATGTTTTATGTTATATGTAGAAATACTACAGTACTGAGATTCGACATAGTTTATTACTCCCTCTGTTTCATATTATAAGTCACTTTAGATTTGTCCTAAGTCAAACCTTTTAAAGTTTAACCAAGTTTGTAGAAAAACATACCAACATTTACGACATCAAATTAGTTTCATTAAATCCATCATTGGATATATTTTTATAGTATATTTATTTTGTGTTGAAAATACTGCTATATTTGTCTAACTTGGTCAAACTTGACGATATTTGGCTTAGGACAAACCCAAAGTGACTATAATATTAAACCGAGGGGCATAAAAAAAGGAAAAATGTGATGTGAATTCATGAAGGGCTGAACGAATCAAAGCACTTCAAAATTGAACAGAGTGGCGACTAACAATATGAGCAGTGTATACACACCTTTTCAAGTCGGATTTGGCCCTCAGAAGATGGTAAAGAAGAATCCGCGGTTAATGTCACAGTGACAAATCTGCAAGACAGAATTATTGACTTTACGGCAAGAATGTTGTATTAGCATTTGACTCAACGCAGCTGCATTCAGCAGATCAAAGAATTTCCATATGATTTTTTTTTACTTACACAAAATAATTAGAATGCAAGTTAATTGAAATTTGGGGTATCCATTTAATTTGCAACCTCACCAACTAAATTTTTAATATAGTGCAAAACCACATATGATGTCAATTTTCTCATATGGACATGGGCTTGACTAGCCAACATAAACTGATTTTAAACAAGAAAAAGATTGCAACTACCATTATCTCCATTACATGTCATAATTGATATAAAATAGGTAAACAGCAGGTAAGTATAGAAAGCATAAAAATGCAATGCTACAAGATGGTTGGGAGGTGCAATGTCCTGCATACAACTAACACATAACCATCTTGGTATAGATAACCAGGTTATGGCAGTTGCTATATGCGCAGACACATCGCTTACGCGATGAACACGACAAGGAAACACGTCATTGTCTTACGTCTCTCGTATCAGTGCCCATGCATAACAGGGGAGTGGTTAATAAGCCACTGCACCCTTTACCACTGTCCATAAAGGACAGATGGTTTGTTGCAGGAGGTCATGCACCTTCCTACCTTAAAGAGTAAAATAAAATAGCGAATATAAAACAAGAGCAATTTGAGTGGGTAAGTCGGTTAGGAACTAAGGATGGATCTGTAACAGTCAGAGCAGTCGGGGTATAGGGAAAGAACAAGATCCTACACCAGTAAGGCATTACTTAATACAACGACAATTATGTAAAGATTTTAGTTTGAGCCCTAGCAATGCAAAAATTCCAGGCACATTGAAATGACATGAACTCGCATGCATAATGATGATGTTTGGTATCACTCACCGCGCTGCAACATAAGCATACCTCAAGGAGTTAAGGAAACTAACTAACATGCCTATCATCATCGAAGAGATGGGAAAAATGACTCATCATTATGACATGTTGTATCAAACCAATGTGTCCGTGGCAAGATTCAACATGACATGGGAGTGCTACTAGGATCGGTAAATTTACTCATATGGCACTTACCTTTTCTTTCCTGAACCTTGACACCCACTCTTCAAGTGATAAATAGATGCAAGGCGTTGAACCTACAAATTTAACAACAATAATGGCACAATTAGCATGCGCTTGAATACAAATGCTTTAACAAGCAATACAAACAATCAATGATAGACAGACATGCATCTAATACCTGCGAACAGTCTCGAGTGTGCATTGGTTGGAAGCATACCATATCAACCTGATCTACGACCATCTTCCTCAATTTCTGCACATAAGAAACAGAACCAGGCCACACATCATTTTATACTAACAAGGAATGGGGAAGGGAAAATAACCAAGTACCATCCAACAACAGAAAGCATAAGAAATCCTATGCGAGTATGAAAGCTCAAAGTTTACCCATAACCAGCTTGATTAAGAAAACCAACATAAAGGAAAACAGACAGCATAAGAAGAGCTACAGTGGATATGAAACTCTCTCTAGGGATGTGCATTTCTCCATATTGTGCACATCTTATCTTGTACCTCCACTTTAACAAACAGAGTACAAAACTGAATCCAGATAGCACCACACTAACATCCTCCGGTTTAAAACTCAATGGACAGAATCACATTGCATAGACCCTGAGTTTCAAAATGTAAAAGGTCTCTTCACATAATGTTGTATTACTACTATTTTCTTGCATTTATCACTGAACTTTGTACAATCCCTAATATCTTTATACCATATCATAGACATTAATGACTGTGTGCTTGCCTTTTTTTTCAGGGGATTGAGCTGGAGAATTAGAAAATAACTAGACTCCTGCTATGATGATTTAGAATCATACGGGCATAACTTTCAGAATAAGGTCACTTCATGTGAAAGCAACTATAAGACTCACAGTATTAATTTGATCTAAATCAACTCCTCTGCCTAGCATTCGTTGGCGGCGCTTCTTTGCAATGAGTTCCTTCCGATGCTTCTTTTTCTCACCTGAATCACATACAAAAAATTTTACAAACCCATCGCAATATAGGTTAAATATAATGAGAACATGAACATTTGAGCAGGCACACAAACATAATATAATTGTAACATACGTGAACAAAGAAGAGCATTAATGTAAACAGTGGCCGAGCAACTTTTTAAGAAGCTGAACTTTCCAAGGATAATCATATTCCCTGCAGACTTTTCAATTTGAAAGGTCTACATTGAGTTACTTCTCCATATGGAGACGGACAATCATAATGTAACACAACAAGCTAGTTGCGCCAATGTATTAAAAAGGTACACAATAGATAATCACTGATCAACCTAGTGCTATTTTTCTAAAATCAATACACACCATCTGCCATGAGCCCATGACTTCTATTAAAAAGAGAGTGGAAATTGGGCAATACTTATCAGCTATTATCTCAAATTCTCTGTAAAGTGGAAACAATAGCATACAACCAGACTTACTTTATGCCATCTTTATGAAACAAAAAATTTAAAAGCTTTAAAACAAATCAAACCTAAATGTTATTAACATACACAAACAACTAGTAAGAACATTCCATGATTAATGGAAGCTTGGCAGTCTTAGCACTACGACTTTTCAATTCAAGATACATAGTGAGATGTGCTTGCCCGCTGATTGTTCTAATTTTCCCATATTTGACAATGGATAACATAAAAGAAAAAACAACAGAAAACAGTGAAGGCATTTTACCTGGTACACTCTGATACTTCTTGCTCTTCCTACCCTCATTAGGCCAGGACCTGGAGAGGTGAGAAGATGATGAAGCCACCTTTGCTCCCTTTCTTAATCTGTTTGCCATGCGTACATCCTTTACCATCATCACAGCATCCAGACCCATCACTCGCATACTTGCCAGGTCCCGGTCACAAGCCCTGACAGCAGTGCCCTTTCCCTTCAACCGATCTGCTGAGCTCGGCCTCTTCATCCCATACTGCTCGGATGCATTCATCAAGGCATAACCCTCAAGCTGTCCCTTCACCTTCTTCAAGAACCCATCCTCATCCTCATCTGTATCCATCTCATCGTCATCATCTGAATCGACCAAATTCATTCCAGCCACCCACTTGCTGCTTAACAGCTCCTCACTCCCGCCGATCCCCTCCATGTAATCGGCAACAACCTCATCATCAACTGATGAATCACCAATGCTCAAGTCTTCCTCTGAATCTGATCCAGACAACTCTTCATCAGACTCCGAACCACCTTCGTTGACATCACTGCCTTCCTCGTCACTATCACCATCATCATTGCCATCTCTCCCCTCATAATCTGATTCCGATTCCTCATCAGAGTCACCCACCCCCGACTCTGGCGATGAGATGTCCTCCGTGTAGATCCGAATTCCCCCAATGGACAAAAATCCCTCGTTGCGCTTGCCCTTAGGCTTCTCCTTCGGCTTCCTCGGCGTCACTAAGGTGGCCTCCTCCAACTCCACCTCTTCGTTGCTGCAACCCCGGAATCCCAATCCGAGATGCAGCCCAGCCTCACCAGCCTCCTCCTCCTCATCCTCCTCCTCGCCGTGAAACCCCAGCCCGATCCCGCCAACCGGGCCGTACGAGTACACCGGGACGGAGGCGGAGGCCGGGTCGGCGCAGGGGGCGGTGTCGATGGTGACATCCAGCACCTGAGTCGCCCCCTCGAAGGAGGCGGAGGGGCGGAGCGCGGCGTAGCTGAAGGGGACGGCGTGGGAGGACGAGTCGGACGCGGAGTTCGACGACCCGCCTCCGCCGCCGCCGCGGCGCCCGCCCCTCCCCCCGCGGCCGCGGCCGCCCGAGGAGGACGAGGAGAACGCGGCGGCGACGGAGGCCGGGGAGACGAAGGAGGGGAGCTCGGGGACGGGGCGGCGGCGCCCGGCCCCGGCGCCGTGCCGCGGCCCGCCGGCGGTCGGGTTGCTGCGCGCGTGGCGGCGCTTGCCGCCGGCCATGCTAGGGTTCCGGCCTGCCTCGAGATTCGTGCGGCGGCGAGCGGAGGGAGGGAGGGGGGGACCCACCTTCCGTTCCTGCGTGCGGGGGTGGGGTGCGGTGCGGTGCGCGGGGCGACGCGTGCAAGAGGGCAAATCGCGTATTTGTAGCTGGCCGCGTGCGGGATCGGGAGACGAGAGGCGGAGGGGGCCGTGCCGCCGGGGTGTGTTTCTCTGGGTTTCGTAGCGGCCAAGTCGATTTCTATGACTTCCCCGCCGGGGGGGACGCGGATATGCCGTTTTCCGAGATGCGATGCGATGCGATACGGTGTGGCCGGAGGGAATTGGGTGTGGAGCGATGGACGGTGCAGATCACCGATCGATCGGGTTTCGTGAGCACGAGGCGGTGCAGGTGGTGCACTGGTGCCCCCAGTCCCAATACAACCACACCGGTCGGCCATCCCATTAATTGTTGATTGCAGGGAAAGGAATAAGTCCATTTTAGATCTCTTAACTTGAAAGTGAGTTTGATTTTCGTCATTGAACCGAAATAACTATATAATAGGTCCATTAACCGTTAAAACAAACACAATATAGGTCCCGAATTTTTTATTTATAATAAATAATTACCCTTAAATTAAACAATTAGTAAATCGTTGGGGGGATTTATAGGAGTAGGATGGACGCTAATATAGAAAGCGTCCATAATTGGACGCCGTTGTAAACAACGTCCATACTTGGACGCTGTTGGAACCAGCGTCCACCTCCCTGGTGCAGCCAAGCCACGAATAGAGTGAGAACAATCAAAAGAAAACCCTGACAATCAAAAGAAAACCCTAACTCTAGCGATGAGCGCTCGATCGCGCATGCCGGCAACCGGCCACGCATCGTCGTAACTCATATACGAGTTCACCCTCTCTACGACTTTGATCCATCCGCTTCGTCGTCCAAGCCACTCTCGTCGTCGACGCCGGGGCCTTCGATTTGTCCGTGTTTTACGGCGCCACCAATCCTGCAATCCAGCCACGGCGCCGTGTGCATTGGCAGCTCTCTCGTCGTGAGCAATAGGTTTGCCCTGCAATTTATATCATGCATGCATGTCTTTTCACTTATAGCATGTCTCTGCTCACCCTCATCTAATTAGCATTAATTGATATGTACTACATTGTTCATACCTATACTTGATATATGACATTAGTGTTTTATTGAATATATGTATAGATTATTATCCAACTAGTAGACATATACCATGCCTTTGTTAATTGTTGAGTTCGTTTGGAAGACACAACCAGGAAATAAAATGACTATTGTTCATTGACATTTTTAATAAGCAAAACAACATTTTTTAAAACTTGAAAGGATATATCAGCAGATTATTATCTAACTTAAAGTTAATTATATAACTTGTTTTGCTAACTTGTTTAGTTTGTTTTGCAGAGTTGACTGAGAAAAAATGATTATTGTTCTAGTATATGTTGATGGGAGAATACAATATGGAGCTAAGGGTGCAGAATATAATATTCCTCCAAAAATAACTTTTCCGGCAGTGGAGGCTACGACCTTTGAGGAAGTCAAAAAAGAAATTTTTCAGGCCCTTGGATACATTGAGGATCATTGTGCAATGAATATCCAAGCTCGGTTTGATATCGGAAATCCTGGGCCACAATATTTTCAATTGATTCCTATTTATGAAGACAGGGGATGGAGGATGATATTTGAGAAGACATGTGGGCAGGTTGTTGAGCTTTATGTTGAATGCGCCTATACGGAAGCAAGATTAAGTCAGGTTAATAGTACAACCTTGGTTGCATCAACTAGGCATTCGGAAAGGAATGGCTCAGGTGTTTCTTTGGAGCCAGGTACAGTTCATTCACAAGCAAAGGTTGTACCCACTTTAGCAGATGGTATGCATTCAACAGTTCAGTTGTCTTCACCTATCAACCAGGATAATGTGGTTTCCGAAACACAACCAACTATAGATGATGACAATACTGCAGAAGACACATATGTTGGTGAGGAGACATATGTTGGTGAGGATAGATTTGGACTAGACGATGACAACAAGCAGGATTGTGATGGTGCCCTTAATAATAGTTCAGATGATGAGCCCCCATAACCACGAGTTGTTCATTCTGTCAATGCATTTCCTTTTATGCGTGCATCTGGACAAAATCCTATAAAAGCATTTAATGATATATCTGTGTTGAAGGAGACAACAGCATACGAGAGTTTCTTTGGACGTAAGAATCAATTTTCTAACCCACTAACAGAAGGAAAGTCTTTTGATTCAAAAGAGCACCTACAAATTGCTATAGGTGAGTTTCATATATGTAAAAATTCAGAAATCAAGTATAGCACAAGTAGTCAGTCTAAACTTGTAGCTGAATGCACGAATAATAGCTGCATGTGGAGGCTCTATGCAACTCCCACAAAGATAGGTTCAGGTTGGATGATAAGGAAATGTCCCTATGCTCACACCTGTCGAGCACCGGCTGATAGATTTGATCATGCTCAGTTATCATCTTCTATGATTGCTAATGTGATACGTGATGCATTAAGGGATGATCTGGAATTGAGTATAAAAAATGTGAGGTCACTAGTCCAACAGAGATATAGAAATGTGAAGCCATCTTATAGTAAATTATGGCGAGGCAGAGATAAGGCAATAGCACAACTTTTTGGTAGTTGGGAAGGTTCATATGGCCTCCTCATCCCTTTCTTACAAGCTATAAAAGCTAAAAACCCAGGTACAAAGTATGTCCTTTTGTCAAAGCCAACGACTCAGGAAGGACGGCGAGCATTTAAAAGTGTTGCTTGGGCATTTGGACCTTGTATCGATGCCATTCCCTACCTACGGCCAGTTATAAGTGTTGATGCATGCTTTTTGTTAGGGAGGTACAAGGGTAGATTGTTGATTGCTTGTGGATATGATGCTAACAATCAACTACTACCTCTTGCATTTGCTATTGTGGAAAAGGAAGATAGTGCAAACTGGGGGTGGTTTATGAGATGGCTACGAAGTGAGGTAATAGGCTATGGAAAGTTAAGTTTCTGTGTGTTATATCTGATCGACATAAAGCCATAAAATGGTTGTTTAAGCAGCCCCACATTGGATGGAATGAGAGCGCCGGTGAATGTGTGCACCGCCTTTGCTCACAGCATGTAGCTGAGAATCTATGGAAATTTTGTCGCAATGAAATAGTGCTCAAGACATTTAAGTGGACAGTGAAGAAAAAGAAACCTAGAAAATTTGATGAAGGAATGTCATCAATTGCAAATATTTGTCCTGAGGCAATAACATATGTTAAAAAGGTTGGAAAGCACTTGCAGGAAGATAAAGATGAGCAAGAAAAGCCCGAGAAGGTATTTCAATGCAAGGATGGAGGATATTGTTGGGGAATGATGACAAGCAATGGATCTGAGTCATTGAACAATGTGTTTAAGTTTTCTCGGAGGTTACCGGTGGCAGCCATTGTGGAGGAAACATTTTCAAAGTGCTTAGAATGGTTTGTTGAGAGAAGGCGAAATGTTGTTAATTTACTTAACAATGGCAAGCAATGGTCTCAAAGGGTTGATAAGCTATTAGTGAAGCGAGGAAATAAGGCTGGACATATGAATGTAATCTCGTATGGAGATGAAGTTGGAATATATGAGGTAAAGGTCGACAAGAGTTAGTCCCAATGCAACAAGGAAACCATGAGGTTTACACACTGAGGGACTTCAAGTATAAGATAGTTTTGCAACCCAACAACACACCATCTTGTGATTGTCAAAAGCCAAATTTGACAGGTGTTCCATGTGCTCATGTCTTGGCAGTTTGCAAACATAGAAATCTTAATGAAAATCAGTTGATCAATCCATTCTACTCTTCTCAAGCACTTGCTATTACCTGGGCTGGACAATTTCTTCCTTATGGAAATCAAATTGAATGGCCACCATTTACTGGTCCAATAATTGTTCCTGATCCTAGACAGATAAATCTAGGCCGTCGTCAGCATAACAGGATACCAATGTACATGGATGAAATGTAAGGAAGACGACTTGGACACCAGGCACACCGTTCCACAAGAGATAGCGACAATTTAGGTAGCAAACAATGGGAATTATATGCATTATAATTGTTAGTTAACTTTTACTTGATATATGACTCTCTTTGATTGTTTTGTAGGTGCAACGTCGAGCAGAACACATGTTGATGGACCCTCTGGCACCATATAGTTTTACGCATCGTGTAGTCTATCTATAAATTACAGTGTCAATTTAGCTTATAGTTGTCCAGGAATAGGACATTCTTCTGGTTGGCTTTGAACATGAATGGAGCTCAACGAACATTGTTTTTGAAGTATTTATTTGAGAGTACAGACAGTTCAATTTGAATTACCTTATCAATTTTTCGTATGATTTGATTTACACAATAGAATTGCTGCTGTACTGCTATTTGTAGGATGTATCTGAGCACATGTTTAAACAAGGATTTGTTCCCTACAGCACACACATATCGTGGCAATAAACTGAAGTAAATAGCATGCGCTCATTCAAATGGGATGTAAGTTGGCAACATAAAAATCCATTAATATAGTAAGTCAGTACAAAGTAAAGTAACACGCCATTCAACCACTGACAGCGTGACCATATTTTACATAGTATAGCACCCATATAAGACAGTGGTCGAAAAGAACATATATGTCAACAGGAATATATGGTCTTCCTAACTTGGAGTGGCTGATTTCCAGTTAACATATATGTAGAACATATAGCTCCAAAAGTTCTACAAAATTATATCCAACAGAATATATGGTCTTCCTAACTTGGAGTGTTCTTTTTGAACATAGGAGTCCTCTCAGTACTAGTCCAATCAACCACTTGGATAGAACTTTTTGAATGACTTGACGTTCTTTCACCAGGATGCAGTGGAGCTGATGCTTCTCTTGAAGCCACCTGTCATGTCACCCAATAGTATATCATATATTAAATACATTACAAAGTTAATTTGCATACACACAAGTGTTAGAATTTTACCAGAT